CAAAGAGAAAACCTTTATACGGCAAGGATCCAAGTACTGGCAGATAAGATTGATAGAATTCAATTATGTATTAAATCACTTAAAGAGGCCTACGAGATGTGGCTCTCATATATTCAAACAATTACCACAAAAAAGAGGGAAGAAGAGAAAGTTTTCGAATCAATCCTAGAAGGGGAACAAGGACTGTTTCGAGTAATACATGAGGGGCAAGAAGCAATAATAACCCTCACAGGGCACAAGAATGAAACCGAGCAAAAATTAGAAGGAATTTTAAAGGTAGTAAGAAAGGAACAAGAAATTATAATTCCTTCTCCCAACCACACAGTCCAGCTCCCCCAACTATCACTACAACAGAATGCTTTGTTTCACTGCAAAGTGCTTATTTCTTGATTGTTTCACGTGTAAACGATATGTACGATTCAGGTTTGCTATGACGATGAACTAACCGGAACATCAGTTACCAAATTTAGGAAGATACTGCTACACCAACAAATGCAGAAATTACAACAAACGAAAACTTACGAGGAAGTATTGGGACGACCCATACTATCGCTACCGCTCTCTTCACTTGTTGCTTCATCCTGGGTACTGACAACTTCAGCAACTGCATTAATCAATGTCTTGTCCATTTCTCCAACCAGATCTTCCACCGTAAAAGGTTGTATTTCCTCACACGAACAATCCGATGCGATGCCGCAGGTGTCAGTCCATTCGCAATCTGCAAGTGTTCCTCTCAAATCAGTAATTTATTCCAATTAAAAGCGTGCTTCATTTTTGTTGAATTTCAATTTAATTTAAATCGATTTCAGCCATATTCTTAATCAAGCTTGTACTGCTGCGCAATTATTGCGCAATATCCCGAGAAATCACAGATATTTCTTCCAGATGAAAAAATTATTAAAATTACCTTTGTCTGCTTCGCTTCCCGGTTTGTCTGAAACAACCCCCGATGTGCTATTACTAGAAGCATGTGAATTAAATGAACGCCGAGAGTAGACTGCATCGTCTAGGCAGCGATCATCATTGCAGAACAGCGGCGAATTCATGCTTGCTAAACAAAACAACATATCACTGAGCTGCTAAACTTTATATCACTCAAATTATTTGAATATATTTTGAGGCGCAAATGATGTGCGCTGTGAGAAATATGTAAAATGCATCGCTCATAAATCATGTTTCGCTGAAGTTACTGTCCTCATTTCACAATATTTTTAACTATTTATTGAATTTCTAAACTGGTAACTTATTTTTTGTGTGTAACCAGTATTTTAAAGTTTTAAAATTTCAAAATTCAATACTTTAAGAAGGAAATGGAGTGAAATCTGCACAAAAAAAGAACAAATTTGCATGAAAAACAAATTTAACGAAATTCGAATTAAAATACAACTCACTGGAACTATTTTGACGAAATACAAACTGATTGTTGATAAATAAAGTTGCTTGATGAAAAGCTTTGCAAAATTCTAACAAATAGCGAGCTTTATCCTCAAATTGAGCATACAACGATAAGCTAACACCATCTACACCAGTTATTGTTACTTTTCGTTTGTCATAGCTCAACTTTGCTATCCGACTCCACTGTAACTCACGCAGCGGAATTCTCTCGCCATCATTACCGACATCGGATGTCTCAATCCCTCTAGAAGATATCCGAAAGCGTAAGATTCGACAGTTTGAAAATCGAAATAGAAGCAAAAAATGAGTTTTTACGATGATCTGTTCCAAAAAAAAGGTTTTACCTCGGGTTAATTCCAATTACTGCATTATCGAATGTGTCCATCTTATGCCTTCGCAGCCCATACAAATGACAGTTCAGCGGGAATGGTGGTCTGCAATTATAATTTTTTTGCCAAACTAAATTGCAAACTGATCGTGAATTTGCATATCACTCATTTCAAAATGTGGTAATAATAACTATCACATTTTGAAAATTTGAAATGCGATTTAAGCACGTGCTAATGCATTGAATCTTTTGGAATTCAACATTGATTTCCAATCATTTAAGAAAAAAAGCGAAGAAAGATAAACTCACCGAGAAGCCAGCTGGCAATATTCCATTACTGCATCATTACTTGAGCATGTTTTGAGATCTTCGCGAACTGCAGGCATGTTACGTCGTACAAAATCCAGACCGTGAACATTCACTACCCAAAGCGGGAAATATCGCTCAGCTCGGAAAGATCTGCAACAAATGTTAAAGGTACAAGCGACCTAACTGGATAGCAGTGGTCAACAGTGTCCAAATGAACATACAAAGCTGATTTAAAAGAAATTGATGATTTAGTTCATGAAAGTAACATTTTTAGTGAAATTATAACACCCAAATGCCCAGTTTCGATTGGATTTTACTAAACTACACATAAACTAGCGAAAAATAATTACAACAGATCATTGCCATTTTCATCGGCATGCAGTGCTAATGCGGCAAGTTCCCAGCAGCGCTCTTCAGCAACTGAATTTGAACCTGACCATTGATCTAAGAGATTTTCGCGTAGCTGCAGGTAATAATGCCTGAGGGTTGTAGGGCATCTGCAAATTTCTACTTGTTAGAATGATAAATGTCGAAAGGAAAATAAATAAAAGTATTTTATTGTAGATTGCAAACTTCATAGAATTTTTATTTTTTTTCCCAGTACTCCTGTTATTATGAACCAATGGAATCTATCTGAGAGCACAACAAGTGAATTCCTTTTTTTTTTGCAAAATGACTTCATAGATTTATTTTATATCCCATGAACCTTACGAGCCTATTACTTTAATTGAAATTACTTATTTATTTAAACTGCAACCACAGCATAAATAACTGTTTCAGTCTAAGTAAGCAAGTAATTTTAATTAGAGTAATTAGGTCTAATTAGAGTGATGGCTCGCAAAGTTCGTAATAGGCTCATAAAATTATACGTTACAGTCTGTAACTTGATAAAATTGCTCCTTGGCGCCCTCCTAGATCTCTTCAAAGTATGATTAAGCGCTACGGTAAATATTTGAATTATTTGCAAACAAGTGATATATGCATCAACTCACCCAATTACATACGCTTTGTCCACATATATGCGCACTCGAAGATGAAGAGCCAAAAATGGGCGGCTTTCAACAACAGTGTTCTAAAATTAATTTAATCTTCATTTCCATACCATTCTAATTATCAAAATTTTCTGGAGAGGAGTTACAATATAATTATGATTGATTATGCCTACGGTATTTATCATGTTCCTAAAAAGATTGCCTTTAACTTTAAAGTAGATAAAAGGTAACCAATGGGTGATGATGTCTAAGACCTACAATGTGGTCTAAGTTCAATATGACTATGAATGTGAAAAACGGATAACAACAAAGATGTGCTGTGCAACTCAGTTGCAAGGGTGAGGGCAATACAACTACAAATTACTTCAAATTCTGTTTTAAAATCAGGATATACGGCAACTAACTTAAATCAATTGTAAAGTTCCACCTTTTACCGAGGCTATTCTGTTGACCATTTTTATCAGAAGTAATAAAAACAGGATACATCCCGTGCATTGAAACACAATGAAATGGGATATCGGGCTTAGCAGATCGAACGCAAACCCCAAATGAAAAACTAGAAAAACACGCCTTTCCAATTATACACCAATATATTAAGGCATACAGAAAAGTGCGGTCAATAAATTCCTTATTCTACATAATGACCTTGTAAAGTTGGATTGATATGTTCATTTTCATGTCCTCAGTATTTGCATGCACTTGGAAACTTCGAATTTCAATTTTTACCAACCCATGCATGTGATATTTTCCATTGTTTCGGAGCATATTTTGCTATTTTCCGACTTGGATCCAAAAAAAATATTCATTTCTCGGTCGATCACCACCGATACCTTCAGAGGGTGTTCGAAGGGCTAAGCCGAACAATCGTTCCTCATCAAAACCAAGATATGCACAACAACATAAATAGGCATCCTCCACACGACATTTAACCTGAAAATTATTTCTTACAGATTTTTCAGATTAGCACAAAAATCGAAAATGAAAATTTACTTCAAACTCAATACCTTAGATCAAGTCACCTCTCAGCAGGTGGGCTTGTGTCAAAGATTATTTCACGAAACTGTTGATTATCAGCAATAAAAGTGCTGAATGAACAAAATGTAGAATGATAAACAATAGAAGAAGCTATTTGCCCTGACGATTTTGATGCATTTACTTTCTGATGAAACAGCTAACTCTAATTGTGCCATCAATGCGATTTAATAACAACAACAACAATAGCAAGATGCAGTGCAAACAAGCATCATTAATAAACAAAAATATGCTCAAGCTTAACCGCCCTTTGCATAGCATTGCTTTTCACAAGGGAATTCTTCCCGAAAACAAATTACAAAATTAAATCAGTTGTTTCATTTTTTGTTAGACTAAACTGTAAGCTTTGGTGGAAAAGGTGACAGATCGTCAAAAGCTAGATTTACTTGGTCTTATTTTACTCGCAACAAAGAAATATCTTATTATACATATCTTGTTATCATCACTGAAATGCTGTGGAAAGGTCCTTTCTTATGATACATCATAATGAACGACAATAACTGATTGAAGAAAGTGGCTCAAGTCAAGTTTCTTAAAACAGCCAACAAACTTCCATATAAAAAAAAGAGAAACTATACGATTCACAAAATGATGCTTTACAGATAATGTAGATTCATGTGGTTACAGTATTCTCGCTTCATTATTGCTTCAGTATCCCACAAATGTAACGTGAGAATGAAATACTAACATGTACAGCAAGTGTGATCATCTCTTTTGTGAGAGTTTGCACCTGAAGATATTTATAACCAGATGGGATCGTTGTACGCAGTGATGGGATTACTTTTACATGATCACTGTTGAAGCGATGAAAATCCTCGGAACTGTGGTTTGGCGCATCTGGTTCAGATAGGCGTTGTTCGGAATCACTTAAAGGTGGTATCCGAGAAGAACAGCAGGAACTGGAACCGTTATACGAATTCACTTCATCACTTTCCGTCATCACTTCGTTAATTTCTTTTGATAATACTAAAAATATGATAATCGGCAATTACTTGTATATTTTCATGATCTTCCGCAAAATGGAACTTTATCACGCAAAAAAAAGGGAAAAGAACGTCTATTCAACATTCAACAACAATGTGTGTAATTACAGAATAATTGCACCTTAAATATCATTAAAAATTTTGGAAAAGCTTAAGTTTGTGCCTTATGCACAAAGTCTAAACGTAAACAAATTGTATAGTTTTTGAAAATTATATACCTAATAAGTGTGACAAATACTCGTGATAATACAACACTATCTAATAAGTGTGACAAATACTCGTGATAATACAACACTATCTAATAAGTGTGACAAATACTCGTGATAATACAACACTATCTAATAAGTGTGACAAATACTCGTGATAATACAACACTTTCTAGTTTTCTTCAGAGCTAACAAAATGGAAATTTCGGCTTCATTTTCCCGCAAGAAACAGACTTCCGAGAATAATGAGATGAGAGGACGAAAAACGTACGCAATTCGAACAATCTATCGGAATTTTTCATTCAGTATGTGAATGTAAATCAGTCATTAATTGCCCACTTGTGGATCGCCAAATATCATTTGGCATAACGGAGATACATTCAGAATTCAGTTTCATTTAACAGCAAGTTCTTCGCTACAATATATTGAATTTGAATGGACTGAATTTTTTTCGAAATTATCCAGTGATGCTAAACATATACATCTCTGAATGGAACTGTGGAAATATCTCAGAGATTTCAAGAGGCAGTTTTGCAAACATAGCTGTCAGCTACCTGAACCTAAATAATATTTCATTGTATAACTCACTGCAATTCCAATCTCAGGAATCTTTGTGATTTAGAATAATTTGTGTCGATATGTCTTTTCCTAATTTACTACGATGGATCAAACCAGAATTCAAGGAGGTAGATCTACAATTAAATGTTTCAGTAACAATTAAATAAAATGATTTGAACCAGAAATATTGAACATGAAAGCATACAAAACGCATAAAGTCAACAAGCAGATGAAAATATTTTAAAAATCCATAATTGTTGTCCATAAAAAGAAATAGCTTTAATTAGTAGTGGTATGCAGTGAGAACTCAGGCGAGATCGTAAAAAGGATACAGAAAAAAGAATTCAAAAGACTGAATCCGTAAAAACCCAAAAATGGTTTCACCGATGAATATCTGCAATCTACAGGTAGCCAATAATTATTAAAAGGAATTCAATCGAACGGAAGAGGAGAAAACAAAGGGACAGGTCAGGGAGGAGATGACATTTCGGGTGTATGCCATAGCTATTCGAGGTCAAATGAATCAACCCTTCTACCTCCTCTTTGCCCCTCCTCCCACATTCCCCTGTGTACCATACCGCACGACCTTGAGCAAACACATTCTTTTTTCTGTTCGGAATTATTTCACTTCAACATTTACCCCTGTATTCTCCAGAACACAAATTCCGTTAACAGTGATGACAAAGTGAATGAAAAGAAAGTAATGCTGTCAGGTATATAACGATGCCATCAGTTGGATGAATGGATAAGTTTCATTACAAATAATTATTTTTTCGGGGTTAGTTACCTAAAAGTATTTTTTTAGAAATATTCACCCAAGAATATCGTCTATGGAAAAAGGAGCAGACTGTACTTTGTGCCACAATGACCTCGTTATAATTCCTGGTCATTAATAAATTAGCAATTCATTTGACTGATCAAATCATGTGCAAAAATTTACTGACATAAAAATGATGGAAGTATCAAATGTGAAATGCCTTCCAACTTTATTATAATAATTATTTTATATGCCGAAGTGTATATCAATGTATCAAGTTTCTTATTTGAAACACCCCATCATTTGCTAATTAATTGTTTCAAAGCTTTGTCCCGATTTAAGGATTAAAATTTAACATTTCGGAAAATTTTGTGGATTTTCAAGGCGAAATGACGATCCTAAATATGAAAAATGGCAACTTTATAATTCAAGTAAGAGGAAATTACGATTTTCATTTTTAAAACAACAGCCTGCGCATTTGAAATGTTCAATTACTATTTTAAAAGTTATTAAAATCCAAAAATCCTGTTAAAAAAATTAATCCACACTTCCGACTATCCACAATAACTTTTCATTCTCAATATTTTGTGAGTGAAAGTTGCTTACTTGTTCAGTGAAAAGAGCAAATCATTAACTTCAGCGAAAGTAGCTTGTAGTAAATATTTGATTAATAAGGGAAGATAATAAACATTAAACAATTAAAAATTTAAAAAATGGAATTGAATAACATCACTCCACTGTCAAGAAAGCGCCATCTATTGTATATCTATTGAAATTTGAAAGGAAGAAAAATAACTTTGAAGCAGTATGTTCATTCTCTGAACCTACCCAAACTCCCACAACGAATATAAATTTTTTGAATAGTTTCTTGGCTTACGAAGGTCAAGTTCGAGAGAACAGTCTTAGCATATGTTTATCTCTGCATCAAGCACGATAGATTATAGAAGTATCCCGAGGTTTGATACGGCAAAATTTTACATCATTTAGTTATATCCCCAAAGAAGCAACTGATTTCATTCATATTCATCAGATGCGTCTCCGCCGCTGTCGAAAAAATAAACTGAATTGCTAGCATCATAAAATAGCAAGAACGAAAAGAAAATATACTCCCACATTCCAAATTTAATTACTCAGCAAATAATTTTTCGACGATGGAAGAAGACACAATCGCTGCTGTTTCATCACTTCTTCCTAAAATTCTACGTTTACTTATAACCTACAACAGTAAATTACATAAGTGTAATAGCAGCAGGAAATAAAAGCATGCATAGATGCAAACATATTCACGGATGGATACGTATATAACTGAAAGGTATGTCATCTTAATGGACAGAAAGGTATACATAAACATGTCAAATTATATCATATCAATACGTAAATGACACATTTTAGTGAGTGTAGCACACGACACATTTCGATAATGATCAAGAATGAGAAAAGGAGGAGAAAAATAAGAGTGGAATGAATCGATGGGACATTCAGTGTGAAAAATTTATGTGCTGACTACGAAAATAAACAACACCTCATAAAAAAAAATTTTTTTTTGTTTCAACCAGTTATTGAAGAAGGCTCATTCCCATTAAAGTAAACAAGCGAATAAATGAAATTGAAGCTCCCTAACAGTACCTGGCATTACGATCTTAAGTATCGTTCAGTAACAGGTAACGCAATTTGAGGTATTCGTACTTTAATACACTTCTGTGTACATTTCTCTTTTAGCACGGTGAGACAGGGTGGGACACTGTTAGCAGGACAGATAGCGTTGAAAGAGAATCCAATAAAATTTTCAGGAAAATAGTAACTTTTTCATCAGAAGCAATGGATAGCGAAAATTTTTTGGAGAAAAAAAATCATTTAATTAATTTGCGATCACTTTGAGAGAAATAGAAGTAACCAGTCGGTAAGTGATTGAGTAGAAAAAGATATGTAAGCAAAGTAAACGGTTGGTAACAAATGGTATGTCTTCGTGAACTGTTAAGAAATTATTCCTTTCATCCTATCATTGTTGATATTTCTTTTGCTTAATTATGAAAATTTTAGCTTAAATTTCAACCATTCCCACAAAATCTTCACAGCATATCAGATTAATTTCTTAAAGAAGTATGGTAGTTACAGTAAACCTATCAGACATAAACAGCTGCCATATTTTTTGGGCCTTTATGTTTTCAAAAGTGCATTAAAAAAAAAAACTTTTTTAATGTCAAATAATCAGCCCGCTAATACCATTGCTATTAACTTCGAAGCAATTGTAGGAGAAAAAAAGTTTATAGAAATGATCACTTCGGGGAGATAGAAAAATCTGAGGAATTTTCAGAACAAATAAATGAGACGAAGAGCAGAGAAAAGAGAGAGAGAAAAGAAGAAATGTTGTGGTAGACTTCAGAAAACCATCTAGCATCTGTAATTTTCCGAGACAGAATAGAGCTCGGGAGCCGGTTCTCCATTGCTTAGGAATTCCAGCTATGCACAGACTGCGTATGCACACACCCCACACACACGTACACGCACATATGCACACATATAGATAGACATATATATATATATATATATATATATATATGTATATATACGGAAGGTAAGAGCAGTTATCGAAGAGTTAAACTATTTTTGGAGTTCTTCAAATATCGTTATATCAGGTTTATAAATAAATATGCATAAACAAATTCGCTAAATATGCATAAACAAATTCGCCTAAATGAGCATTTTATGAGTTTGATATAAACTGATCAGAGAAGTATTTTTGAATGCTGACATTGAAGGGAGGATGGGACAAGAGCGCTTCCAGAAAACTTAATGTCACCGATTTGTTCCTCTCTAATCAAGATCAGGAAGACTGAAAGACTGATAATCTTTCCAGTCACTTTTTCTTCGAAAAGACTCTAGTTCCATTTTCGCTTCAAATATCAACACTCAAATTTCAAACAGCGAAAATCATTTTCC